TCCTTGGGCACACACTGTACCTGCTACTGTCCAGCCTGGTTAGTGCAGATAACAAAGGCCATGGTCGCTCGGGATGAGAGCCCAGATTCCAGGTGATAGCGATGCTCCTACCAGGGGCAGCCACCTTTTGCCAGTGCCATTATCTCCCCACTTGGGTGCCCCTGGAATTGCTGGGCCGGGGCCTCTTCCAGCAAGGCCTGCACTGGCAGCCAGCTGTGCTGGGAGAAATCTAGTCTCTGCCCCTCCTTGGCGTGTTGGTTGGGCTGGTTTCACATGGGATTCAGCTGAGCAGTCCCTAGCCCTCAGCATAGTGGTCAGTGTATATTGAGGCTCTCCCTCCTCCCACTGGGAGATCACATTGTCCACTGCAACCACCTCCTCCACGAAGTTCTCATACATCTTGCCATAGAGGGTGCCCACCATTCTGTCTTCGCTGGTGCTCAGCAACTGGGTCAGAATCCTGTGCCCGAAGTACAGATAGATGAGTCCAGCACTACTCAGCTTGGTCAGTCACAGCTTCCTAGGGTACAGGGAACTCATGGTCTTTGTGAACGACCTCATATCTGTGCCTCTGAGGGTCGTATTCACCACAGACATCCACCACGATGTCACAAAGAGCCAATTTTTCTGGGCCCTCGGTTCACACAATCTTTGCATCCTGGCACTTTGGCAAGAGGCATGGCAATGTGCATGCCAGGGCCTCCTCACAGTGGACCGTGCTGTTGTGCGTCCAGGTTCTGGGGGTGCCAAGAGGCTGCTTCGGGTCGTTTGGAGGGCGGGACAGACTCCAAGTTGAGCATGCTGTGCGGGGCAGGGAGGGGTGGCAGCAGCAACGGTGGACGGAGGAGACTGCTCAGGAAGTGGAGGTCCGTGCAGTTTCCCCCGCGCACAGGAGGGGGCGCTGTGCACATTTATTTAAAAAAAAAAATAACATTTCTGTGTCCTCTTGATTCTGTTGTTGGTGATAACACCACCTGACTGGCTATGGATGACCTCTTTCTAGGCCACTAGAAAGACACTAGGGAGACAATAAGTGCGATAGCCCCTATGTCCTTGAACTTGATGCATTAAAACATATCAAAAGTCATACTCGTGATTTAAAAATGTGATCGTTACTTTGGTAGGCGCTGCTCTGCGTGGTATTAAGCCCTAGCCTATTCTTGTGATGATGTCACTGTCACTTGTTAGTGATATCGTCTGGGATACATGGAGGCTTAGAATAAATGTATCTGCATTTGAAACGACAAAAAGCACTCTTGAAGGAATAGGTCTGTGGCACAGCTAACCGGTGGCCTTTTGGTAGATGAACAAGGGACACATTTGGACTGTCTGAAGATAAAAAAGGGGCCACAACCATGTGCACTGAGCCCCCAGTCATTTTGGACACTTGCACTTCAGGTCTGGTGCCACTAAGGCCTTTTCTTCTTCCCGGGTTCTGCGGGCCTGCCCAGGCCAGGACCAGGGATCCCTGGCCTGTGTCTTTGAACACCAGATTCTTATTCATTGGTAGACAGTGGCATTTTATCAGGAAAGACCAAAGGTCTTGCTTTTCGGGAGAGGTGTGGTAATATGTTCAGTAACTGCATCTACAAAAATCAACTCCTACAATTCCCTCCTGGGGTAGAGAGTACAGAAGCACCTGAGGGGTTCTGAGGAAAAGTGGGTGCAGTGTGGGCGAGCAGGAGGGGTAGGAGGCCGGGGGAGGAAGGGGAGAGGTGGCAGAGGCTGTTTTCCAGGCTCTCCCGCTTCCCTTCTGCCTAAGCTTCCCCTGCCTCTTCTCCTTAAACCTGCTCTTCCTCAGGTCTCAAACGGCCTCGCCACCTCTCTGAGGGCACAAGTTCCTTCTCTTAGTCCCTCTCCCATAAGCCTCTTTCTCAGGATTACAAGAGCTGTGATTCTTTAACAAGCATCCTCACTAGACTCTTGGCTCCCTGAGGTCGGGTCCCTTGGTTCATCATTGTATCTCTGGCATCTGCATCTACAATGTCCTGTGTTTTACTGAGTGAGCAGTGACACCTGGCTCATTACCCCGAGTCAGCCTGTGGCATTGCAGGGGAGAGAGGTGCCTTCCACCGCCTCTCCTCTCTTCCCTGGCTGGACTGTAATGGTGGCCGGTGGCCGTCCTGGGCCATGAGGGCAGGGCCATGGCACACGTGCTAGGCCTGACGCTGTGAGCTCTGGGCCATCTCCCTTGGACTGTGGACAGAGAGAGGCATCTCCATGAATCCAGTCCTGAGCAGTAGGAAAGAGGGAACAGAGAGGCAGCCTGGGGTATTGATCTCACAGTACATAGGTGACCAGGTGCCCTTTTGTGTAACAAATGAGAGTTTGGTAAATTGGGAACAGTTCAAGAATTTTTCAACTTGCTCTTTCCTCATCACCATCCTAGTCCTCATTTCTTACTTTTGAAATAGAAACTAAAAACTCTGGATTTGGAGCCTGGCAGCCCTGTTGCTTTGTCAACTACTCTGCTTCCAGACCCGTGTGAAGAGGCTTCTGTGAGGATGCAATGAAATGACAGTCATTGATGTGGCCCGAGCTCATGCTAAACGAGTTTCCTGTCCCACTATGGGAGTGCTAGCGGGGGTTTCCCGAGTAACTAACAGAAACCTAAATTAAACTGCTTAGCAAAAGGGAATTCATTGCCTCGCATCACTGGAAAGTCTAGGTCTCTCTGGTTCCAGGGTTTAGCCCAGGGATCGAATGTTGCTGGATGTAACCATGTTCTCTCTAGCTCATGTCTATTCCGTGTTGGCACCATTCTCTGGCAGGTTTTTTTCCTATGTGATTATAAGACAGCTGACCCCAAACTTTATTGTCATCTTTTCAGCAACTCTACCAGGAAGAGTCTCTTTCCAATAAAAGTCTGGGAATGAGTCTCACTGGTTCTGAGACATGGCCCCATCCTCTAGCCAGGGCCACTGGCGGGGAGATCCTGGGCTCCGGCTGGCCAGACCTCGGTCCTGTGCTCACCCTGGGGTGTAGTCAATGCCCATTAAACTATGGACTGTGAGTGGGGGACGTGGCGCTAGGAAATCGGGGTGGTTTTATTAGGGACTATGTGTCAGGCAAGCAAAAACTGGTTTTGCAACACCCAGTAGACAGTAATAAATGTGAACTCTCATTCTGTAGTCATGCCAGTACACAGCCCTCCTCATTTACATCCCTTTAAAACTGTCCCTCCACCCACTCCTTAAGAAGCCATCCCTACACATTAGAATTGATTCCCGCCAAGGCCCCACCTCCATTACCCCTATAAAACTTCCTCCTGTGACGAGTGGTCTTCTTGCCCACTCTCCCCCCCTTCTGCTTCAATTCCCGGAACAGCTGTTTATGAAACAGGAGCCATGAGTCTCTACAATGCTCCAGAACGAGGGTGGTTTTCTGCAACTGCTGTGCCGTGTACAACCCCACCCTTCCGTGTCGGGGTGCTGAAAAACCTCCAGTCTGTCACTGTGAGCTATTAGCATAGTGGTTTTGAGGCAAAACGGGAAATCACCACAGGGGCCTGTGTGGGTGTGGGTGCTGGGCAGCAAGGGTGGACCATTCTGGAAGCCAAAGGGTGAACGTATGAAGGTTGGCGGTGTAGGCCCATGGCCCATCCCAAGGACCCAGTCAGTGGAAGTGGGGTGCCGATCCCTGAGGCGAGGACGTTTCTAATACTGGGGCGTGTGGTGGGGGGCTCGCTTCGGTCTCTGTCTGATCTTAAGTGTCAATATTTGATTTCTCTACCTCCCATTTTCAGATTTGGTGGTCTTTAAGCAATGCTGTGGGCATCTGGGGGTGTTCACAGGCAAAAGAGAGGAAAGCGCTGGCTGTGCGGATTCCTGGATTTGGGTTGTGGCGACAATCTACTTCTTATTGAAAGTTAGTCTATTTGCATTATGGTTTTATAGCTCATTTTCATGAACTTTCTTATTATAAATCTGATCCAGAGATGGATCTGCTTCTCTTACAATGAAGAAGTCTGGCTCCTGGGTGAGGCTGATGGTCAGACCCTGGTCAAGGTGAGCTCTCCGGGGGTAAGCACGGTCCCGCGAGGCCTCCACAGTAGCCTACTGGTGTTCCCGACAGGCCCCTAATTCTCCAGGCCAAGCCATCATCGCTGTTTTTTTTTTGTTGTTTGTAATAAGATAAATGAAGAAGCAGGAAAAAAATTTTTAATAGTCTTTTGGTTAATAGTTAAATATTAAGAAAGCTAAATTTAAAATATGTTGACTAGGGTTCTATACATTATATTTACATAATGATGTTGATTTTACCTTCCTAAGAGCAGTTGCCCAGGAAGGAGGAGAGGCAGCCTGCAGTCTGGGGCTCGCGCTGCCTGTGGGTTCCCTGGCAGAGCAAAGAATGAAGTGCAGAAGCAAGCGTCCCCTCCTCACCCCTCTCCCCTTTGTTTTTATTTAAAGCATTTCTGAATAATAAATACAAAAATTAGGTCTGGATATAAAAAGCTAGATGACTGTCCCAGTTTGGGACTGTTTCATTAGGAGACCTGGTTCAGAAAGGACGTGAATGGCCCCTTACCACAGGACACAGTGACGGAAGGCAAGGGTCACATGTAAGTCATTTGCGATCTCTGAGCAAAGGCACAGTGAGGATAAACTCATCTGTAAAATAAGGGGACTTGACCAGGTGGCCTGCCATGTCCCATATGATCTGAGCTGTGCTGGGAGGACTTCCCTATCTGCTAAGGTGGATGCAGGAAGGAAGATCTACCATACTGTGGCACCAGCCTTCCAATAGCCTTACCATGCTTGTGGGATAAATTCACAGTCAATAGTGTGAAATTCCTCTATGCTGTTAAACTGGCAAACTACAACCGTAAACAAATAAGCCAAAGGCCTTTCTGTGAAATATAGTTTGAGAGCGAGCCCTGCGAGCTACTGTCCAAGTCCTGGGTCTGCACCCATGACAGCTTGTTCCAGGTCAGCTGGATGAGGGCATTTCTTATCTCATGGAGGATCTGAAATGCCTTTTTAATACAAATCATCAAGAAATTATGATTCAAGGATCTGATACCCCAATGTTATAGGCAAAGCCTCATTTTTACGGAATACAAAACACTCTGTTTCTTCCACTTCTAACAGCTCATTAAGAGAAGACACCACTAAATCGTGGTCCTGCAGCATTTCCGGGTAGCGGGAGACTGCCCGCTCGATCCTCGCCGACCGCCGTACCGGAGTGATCAGCTTCATGTCCTGCACTTCTGCCATTCCACTTATTCTGAGAGACAAGAGGTGCGTTGAAAGCTTTATCACTTCTTTGGAAACTGCACTTATTCTTTATTTTTCTTATTTCATTAATAAAACATGATAGATATTTCAACGTAGGTTAGTAAGGTTAATACAGGAGTTATGTCTAGAGCAGCTCTCCTCCTCAGATGGCCTTCCTCCGATTGTCAGAGTGAACTGGGTGGTGTCCGTCTGCCCCGGGCTGGGGCGAGGATAGGGAGTTCACGAATGAAGCGTAAAGCACGGTTTTTATTTGAAGTGAACTACTTGGCACTTGGTGTTTGTTTATTCCATGAACTTTATAAAGAGTGGACAGGTTTTGAAAAAAGTGGGCATAACACCAAATGGGATTGGACTAATGAAATCTAAGGTCCTTTCTAGCTTTGACAGTAAATTATTAAAAATACATATTTTTAGATGATGAACCAAAACACAAATTGAAACAAACTGGGCATCTTCCTTGTAAATTCTCAAGTGTTCCAATAAAAAGTAGCCTGGAGGAGAGGCTGCAGAGACATTTCCATTCAGTGACTCTGGTCTGCGCCCCACAGGACCCCTGACTGCACTGGCCGAAGCAAAGCTGCCAGCCCAGCCTGCCAGCCACTCATGAGCTGACTGTGGTGGGGACGTGACATGTCTGAGAGGAGCTTAGGACTGGAAGGGGCCCAGCGCTCCTGCGTGCAAGTCCCCTTTCAAGATCATGAACAGAGATTCATGTTAATGTTTTAGAAAATGACATTGATATCCTGACACAGCTCCTTAAATTACTATGGATTCTGCCTTAAACTTACACTTGCTAAAAAGCCAACTGATACTCTCCGCGGTCTGTAACTAGTACATACCCAACTGCCCTCCCTGTTTTTATGGGGCTGCTCACTGCCCCTCCTCCACAGAGCTCCAGAGGTTGCCCTTGTTGGCACTTTGTGCTGCACCCATGCAACCAATCTGTGCCAGGCTGTTAGGAAAGGAAGGTGGGGTCTGCAAGTTCAGGACCAGTAAGGGTGAAGAGGAAGGAGGAACCCACTCCAAAACCCTCCTGACTCCAGCAGCACCGCCCTTGCCTGCGGCAGCCCCAGGCCAGTTCTCCTGGGGGTTGTGGGAGAGGGATGGTGAGGCAGAGAAAGGGCAGAGCTCTCCATCCGCACCAACCCTCCCCTCACCAGCAGCTCCTTCCCTTAATGCCAAGATTGGATTAGACTACCCGGTCCTCCAGTGAGGCAGAAGGTATCAAAAAATTGCTGGTACTTGGATCTGTGGAGGTGAAGCAGATCTGGACCTGTGAGCACAAAGCCTCCTTTAGAGTGTGCTTACCTTGGGATGGGAGCGACCTGTAGTTTGATACCAGGGTGATGATCCTGTTCTGCTTTGGTTATGTGGGGTGTTGCTGGAAACTGTTCTCTGTTTCTTGGAGAAAGACAAGACTTTCTTCCCGATTTCATGTCCCTGGCCAGCTCTTCTGTGGATGTTAAATTAGTTTCAGCGACCAAAGACTCAGAGGTAATTCCTGCGTATGCAAGGTCAAGAAGGAAAGCAAGTTAGCAATTTAGTACTTAACCAAAAATCAATGGAATGAAATCTGTGTGATTTCCTCATGGACCTGAGATACTAAAAAAGAGAAATTGATTTGAAGTGGGACTTTCAACCTGCTTTGCTGCTAAGCCCTGCAGCAACACCCAGCTATGTCAGGCTGCCTCTTGCCCAGCGCCCCCTACCCCCCACCAGCCTCCGGTTTCCTCGCCGCCTGAGAGGATGGGTTACTTTGAACACAGCTCCAATCTCTTGTTCACTCTCCAGAGAACTCTCTTAAGGACCAACCACTGACCTCTTACCCTTACACCATTCCTTGGGGGCCATTTTCCTGACCTACTAGGGTTAACTCACTTGACCTGGTCCCCTTCTTACCCAGGATGACCATATGGCTATCGCCTTGGACAGTGGGTAAGAAAAAGTCTTGTGTCAGTCCCATTTGCCTGATAGCCCAACCACAACAACCAAAATAAAAGGAAGGAAATTAGAGTGAGACAGGCAGACACTGTGACTGGAAGCTGGAGGCCTCCAAGAGAGGTCAATGGGGCAAACAAATAGTAAGACATGGATCCCTGTCCCCTCTTTTCATACTTTTGAATTTATTGCCATATATTATAAACAAACATTTTGAATTTTAGCATCATTCCTAGTAAGAGTGCCATTGAGCATAATCACTCTTTAACTTTACTCTCAAAATAATGCATTTAGCAGCTGTAATTTCACATGACTGTTCCCCAAAGTTAAATCTACGCTTAAAGGAAAAAGATTTGTCACTTTCTAAATTTATAAAAATAATCCATTTTATCTTCTGAAGGTATCTTGTTTTCTTTCTGTTCACATAACAAACACTACAAGCAATTATAATGTGCCACTCACTGTATCTGTACAATATTTCTCACAGAAAAGTCCTCTAGAGGTTCTGACCAATGACAGGAATGCTGAACTCACGGCAGAGTCCTGCCATGGCTACTTATAAAGAGATAAGGTGAATTTAGATATAAAATGTTGGTGGGTTGGTTACAACTAAACATGGGACTTAAGCCGGGACATTTCTCCCTTCTGCCTAGAAAGGGCCACTTGTCTTTTCTAACCTAGGTCTCCTGGGAGGCAGGGCATTCTTGTCCAGGCTGCTCAGTGCTGAACAGTACATTCGCTTGTAATGACACAAGTCAGTCAGCTGATGACGCTGGCTGAGAGGGCCAGACCACAGCAGCCAGGAAGGGAGAGGCACTTTGGAGGACTTTTCTTCCTTCCCCAGTGATCCTCAATGATTTTATTTGTATCACTAAAGGGAATGACTTTAAATACAAAATAGCAGTACCGTCTTGAGCTCTGTTTGGGTCTTGCAAAATGTTAAGAACAACTTCTCGTAATTCTTGTATTGGCTGGAAAGAAGGAAAAGACATGAACAGTATTAAAAACATTCATGAAAAAATAATCTAAGGAACTCTGAATAACAGTAAATGAACTCCTTTACATAATAAAAATGTTTTATCTCTTGTCTAAATATAAGTAACATTTAAAAACTTTCAGACTTAAAACTTCATGGGAAAAATAAAGGAACAAAGAAAATGTTGGTTAAATGCTGGCAATGTTCGACTTTAATGGAAAGATGAATTGATGCGAAGTTGTCTATAATGAAATTTCTCTAAAACAAATTAATTTTCTTATTGACTCATGTGATCCCATTGAAGATGTGTTCCCATATAAAGATCCTGGCCCAAGGATATAAAGATAGCCACTCATAACACATGGCATACATTTTTAGAATTGTCTTAGTTAATTTTGGTTTTTATCATAAAAGTCATATACTTCATTACAACAAAAAAATTACCAATAGGTCAGACTTAAAAGATGAAATCACCCATAATCTTCATCACCCAAGTACAACCTTTCGTTAGCATTTTGGGCAATTTTCTACCAGCCTTCTCATTCTTTCATCTTTTATTTGGTAATATAACTTTAAAAAAATTACAAAAAATAATTTTCTATAAAATTAGCTGAGTGAGCCTTCCTTTTCCAGGGTAGGTGCCTTAAGGCAGCACATCACAAATGAACTGCGCATTCTCACAGGAACACTGTATCAGGAGGCTGGTCTTCTGACCTGAATTCTGTATCAAGTAAATAAGAGGTATAAACTGACAACAGAGCATAAAAGCAAAGGCATCCACACATTTTTATAAAATCTAAAATGCCTTAAGCTTAAGGAAATGGAAAGAATTATATAGAATACATTGTAAAGAGCCTGAATTAAAATATTTATCAAGTGTCTTTTTTATTTTTACAGGCTTCTAGTTAAAGATGATGGATTATAAAGATTTGTTTCTAATCTCCCTTGAAACTATGATTTAAAAAATGGCATTAACAGGAGGAAATAACTACAAAAATTAGGAGAAAAGAAACAGCAACAAGATTTTGGAAGCCGGAATGTAGAAGGAAGCAATAATCAACTGGATCAACTTGAAAGAGCTAGCTTCAAAGCTGCCAGTATGGCCAAGAAATAACCTGACCCAACCCCAGGGTCTCGGAAAGGCTCAGGAATGGATGGTGGGCAGGATCAGAAGGGCCCTTGAACATGTGTTCAGAGGGCAGCCAGGTCTCCCAGTCCACTCCGCACCCTGAGCTCCATGCACCCTGGTGTCTGTGCCCCACCCCTAACAGAACACAGGGGTACCTCCCCCAGGTCTCTGGGGAGCATCCTGCAAGATTAAGTGTGGGGGTGCATATTGAAAACAAAGGATTAAGGAGAGTTTCCTGCTGAAGGCCGAGAATCCCACTCTCTTCTCTCCCACAACAATGTGGGCTTGTTCCTGGCTCTAGGAAGGAAACTGGAAGACTCTCCTCTAGAGGACATGACTTGTCTAAGAGGAAGGACCCCGAAATACTGATATTGAGGGGGTCTTCAACCAACTGACTCAGCCAGATCACCTATGGTAAAGCCCCACTCCTGTGCCCAGATCTTTTAATAAGCTTTTTCAAACCCACCTCTTATATATGCAAACAGCCTAGTTTCACTAGCATCTGAGTAGAGCCTTTAATGAACAATAGAACTAAACAAAATAAAACAAACAACCAGAGAGAGAGCAGAAGCAGACTATGCAGGAAGTAAATCTGATATGGCCTCTAGGAACTGAGAGGTAAGGACACAAAGGGAACCTGAGGGTGAAGGTGAGAGGAGTTCCCACGACAGCCAGTGAAGGCGGGTAGAGCTCACCCGTTGGGACTGGGGCAGGTCGGAAGAGTCTGGGAGAAAGGCTTCAAAGAAAAAGAATACAACGTCTAGTGTTTCTAAAGAATAAAGAAATTTAGACAATTATAGAAGAGTTTTGTGGAATTAATTATATAATAAACACTCAAGAAAACTAAACAATTTCAGGAAAGGTAGAAAGTTGTGCTTGAAAGACAGAGTAATCATAGTATATACTACATGGCTCAACATACTCATACATTTCTTATACATTTATAACAATGTGAACATGGAATAGTGACTCAAATTTCCGTTACTCTAACGTAAGCATGAAGGATGACACAGATATGCCAGTGTTATGGGGGGGGGGGGGGGTGTAGGGGGTGGGGGGTCTGTGCGGGTGTGTGTGAAAGAGGTTAAATCCTAACCCTTGGATTTGGAAGTCCACAAATCATGTCTAAAATGGAAAATCAGGAAATACAAGCAATATAAGTATGTTATCTGAAATTATAGAGGTAAATAGAAAAATAACCAGTTTGTTCTGGGAAGTGAGAAATGGGAGGTGAGGGGAGCAGAAGCCTTATTTAAAGAACCCTGTTAAACTATTTGATTGTTTAAACTCTGTGCATGTACAACTCTGATTTTGAACAATCATAAAAATGATATGTAGACTACAGGATGACAGAAAGCAACATGCAAGTGAAAAGAGCTATAAAGCTATTTAATTTTTTTGTTAAAAATTATACAGAGAGAGTTTTACTTGGTTTTAGAATTAGAAGGAATTTCATGCAATGGCTCTGAATTAATGATTTATGAATATTGATGTGTTGGGTTTAATACATTTCTAGGTTCTTTATGGTGCGGTATGGCTTTCTAAGTATTGAATATTGGTGATATGTTATAACTTGCTATGCTCTCACTTTCCATAAGTGCATATTTATACAGTAAGTGTTAAGATACATTCACTTGACAAGAAAAGTGATTCTATTAGTTTATAGGTAACACTGCTTTCTGTCACATAAATATTTTAATTACAATGATCATAAAGGACATACTGTACTTCATTCTGTATGTAACTGTATGAAGCGAATTAGAAGTTACATTACATTATATAACTGACATATTGCAAATAACAGAACCCATGTGAGAGAGAATTTTCAAGAAATCACCCACCCAAGACAGATACTTACTGTAGCCCCATTTCTAATGGCCTCTTCGTACAGTCCGATAACATCAAATGTGCCTTTACTTGCCAAGAACTTTGCTTTGCAGATCCAGAATTTAGCAAATTTTTCAGCCTCAGGAATACTAGACAATACGGTAAATACTTCATTAGAAAGCACACCCTGGAAAAAAAAAAACAGAGGAAATTCTTACCATCTCTCTGCTACTCATGTCTCCTACTATTTATAGGGGGCAGGTATGCAGAAATCAGTCTGATTGGTAATTATTTTTAACTTTAAAAATACTTCAATTTTACTGATGTACAGTTTACACATAATAAAATACTCCTATTTAAATAGTACATTTCAATGAGTTTTGACACTGATCATTAAATTTTAAGAGTTACATGAGGCCAAACAGACAGAAAAAGTTTATCATAGCTGAAAGAAGGAATATGTTCTACATTTTTATGTGGCACCAAACCCAACCCAACCCAACCCCAGAGTAATCAACATTCACTACAATATGAACACTGAATAGAACCAGATTTCCCATGTGACTCAAACAGAAGCATAAAGGATGGCACAGGTGTGCCAAGGTCCTAGGGGTGTGTATGTGTATGTGTTGGGGATCTGTGCAGGTATATGAAAGAGGGTTAAATCTGACAAACAGGAACTTGAAGGTGGCTCCACTGGTTTGGTGCTCTCCTGGCTTGTACCCAGAGCAGGACAGGGAGATGGACCGGGAGGAACTTGAGCCAGGTACCGGCGCGCTCAGCCGAGCAGCACATCCCACTCCTTGTGAGATGGGCGGTGGACACAGTTCAGCTCACAGTCAGGAATCACCAACACCACACCAAGAGCCATAAAACTCACGAACCAGAAGAATAAACACTGCGGCCAACAGTTGGGGGAGCAAAGAGGAATGCATTTTAAGGGTGCTGCAGTCGGTATCTTCAGGGTGATAAGAGAATATTGCTATCATGAAACCAGAACCCGCTGCTATGGAAGAGCATCCACACAAGGACAAAACAGTGGCTTGGATGCCGCTGAAGAAGAAATAGTGAGCTGAAAATCCAGCTGGGGGATCTTCCCAGAACTCAGTGCAACAAATGAAAAACTGGAGAGTATACAAGAAACGGTAAGTTCTGGAGGATATATCTGTTATGCTGGAATTTCAATACCATCTAAGAGGATTTCTAGAAGGAAAAACAGAACAAAGCTGAACACACACTCAAAGCAGTTGTAGAAGAAAATTTCCAAGAACTGACCAAGAAAGCAAGTGTTCAGACTGAAAGGTCCTTACTTAGAAAACCGCACCTAGAAAACCAAGGATGAAAAGAAAATATTAACCACCTCCAGAGAGGGTAAAAAGGATTATCTACAGAGGAATAAGAATTAGGTTGACAGGAACTTTAATAAATCAGTAACTCCAGATGCAAGAAACAAAATGAAATGGTAACTTCATATTTTCCAGGGAAAAGAATTTAAATTTAGAAATTTCCTCCAGCCAAACTAAATACGATTTAAACATATGGTCAAAATAATGACATTTTCACAAGCAAAAGGCCTCAGAAAGTTCACCACTCAAAAATCATGTAGTGGCTAGTGAATAAACTTTAGAATTGAAGTGGAAGGCTTGAAATAAAACTAGAAGAAAAATATGATACGTAACTTGCACACCATGTTTGAACTTACACCTACCACTCACTTTTGTGATTTTAATTTATGTACTTTTACTTTTATTTGTATGAAATAAAGTAAATTGCATCAACCACAAAAATAAGGGAAAAATAAAAAAGAATTCACAAAGCCCTCATGGTGTGGCTCAGTTGGTTAGACATTGTCCTGCAAAGTGAAGGTTGTTGATCCGACTCCTGGTTAGGGCACAGGCCCAGGTTGTGGGTTCAGTCCCTGGTTGGGGCGTGTATGCATATAAGAGACAACAGATGTTTCTCTCCCTCTCCGACTCTATCCCTTCCCCTCTCTCTAAAAATAAATAAAAATAAATTAAACAAAACGAATTCATGTAAATTGAATTACAAAATAAAATGGCAGGTCAAAGTTTAAGCATATGAGTAATTACAGTAAATGTGTATGAGCTAAATTTGCTTTTTTAAAAGCAGAGAATTCTAGATTTGGTAAAAACAATTCAACTATACATATTCATATGAAATATACTTCTAGGAATAAAGGGATAGAGAAAGATTTACTTTACAAAATCTAACAAAAATAAAAAGCAAGTGTGGCAAGATTAACATAAGACAGATGAGAAATCAAAGCAAGGCATGAGTCTTTAGGTACATAACAAGAGAACCGAAAAATACGGTGATGGAACGAGACTAGACTTCAGGCGGTGAGCACACAATGGAGTAAGTACACAGGTGTCATGTTATAAAGTTGTACACCTGAAGTTTATATAATGTTATTAAATGTTACCCCAATAAATTTAATTAAAAAATTAGGATGTAAAAGTTGGACAGAAAAACAAAGAGAAATCACCAATCACAGTGCCAGTGAGAGGCTTTGGCATATTTCTTTTGGAAAGCAACAGCTGAACTAACAAATGCAAATAGTTGTGCTATTTAAATTTTGTTTGTACTAATGGATACCCACATAGAATTTTCCATTCAATAGAGAATACATATTCTTTTCAAACACTTTTGGAACACTCACCAAGACTGATCAGACATTAAGACCAGAAAGAAAATGTCAACGAATTCCATGCAGTATTAATTTTTAATATTAAAATAGCCAGGAAAAAAACTCAAAACATCTGGAAGTTAAAAGATACTTTTGAAGATAACTTTGGGGTTAAAGAAGTGCTAAAAATGGAAACCTCAAACTTTTTAGAAATGAGCAACAAAGAGAACATACGTCAGTTACTAAGCTATGGTCTCTTAGCTCCAAACCTGTGTTTCTCCTCTGCTTTGTGACCATGGGGTTAGAATTCTGTCAACCACCTTCTGCTGACAACAGTTCCTTCCTGGGCTCTGCCAGTATGAGGCCCTACGGGAGACTGCAGAGCTGGAGGACAAGAGAAGGGTCTTCCTCTTCCTTTTTGTACTTGTCACTCAGCAACGGTCCTTCACCCTGGCAGCAGCAACTGGCTCTACCTCCCCACTTTTCCCCGGCATTCAAAGATCCTGCCCACATGAATGGGGGAGCATCCTTTCCTCAAGGTCTGAACCAAGCCTGGCAGGGCCCCCCTCCAGTTCTGTAGCACCAGCTTATTCTGGTAGTGTGCCTCTTTAGAGCTGGAGTTCTATTCCCCTCGGGGTTTGTCTCTTTTAGCTTTTACATAATTTAAAAAAAAAAAATCCTCACCCGAGGATACAGCTATTGATTTTAGAGAGAGGGGGCAGGGGGAAAGAGAAAGGGAGAGCTAGAGAGAGAGAGAAAAGAAACATCAATCAGTTACCTCCTTTATACCCCACAACTGGGGATTCAAACCCACAACTTAGGTATGTGTCCTGACTGGGAATTGAATCCACCAACTTTTGGTGTATGGGACGATGCTCCAAACAACTGAGCCACTTGGCCAGGGCTCTCCTAGATTTTAGATCTGAAACCCTCAACATCTCCTGGTTCTCCTGGATCCAGAGTTGTGCCTGCCAGCCCTGGGTACAGCACCATGCCCCTCTGATGACCCTCTCACCATTTTTGTGCACGCATGCTCACAAAATGCTGTTATGTCTAACAGCCAGCCTCTGCACCTCTTTGCCTGTGTCAGAGCCTGGGATTTTTTGTCACTCACAGGAAGCCACTGATCAGTGCAGTGCCCTTGATCAGGAGACGCTTTGAGATAGTGTGACTTCCAGTGTCTGCAGGGCTTCCTGTGGGACTGTGCCGCGGGTGCCCTCTGTGGACTTTGCTGGGTACACACCCTGCTTGGCCTCCTTCCTGTCCTGGCCCCATACCCCACTCCCCTCTGTTTTCCTGGGATTCTCTTCTTAATAAATTACTTTCACACATATTCTCCTCTTGGGGGCAGCTTCTAGGGAATTCATATAAGACACTGTGAAACCAATCCTAACGCCACATTCTTTCCAGTATTATGATACCTGGTGTGGTTTCTATTTTCTGACTTGACTCTGACTGATAAAGAACATTAACTATCAAACCTCAAGGACATGACCAAAGCTAAATTCAGAGGCAAATTTATAGCATTAAAATGTATTAAAAAATAAGACTAATATAAATGATCTAAGCTTTCAATGAAAAACAACTACGAAAAGGACAATAAACATAAAAATAGATGTAGACATTGATATAGCAGAAAAAATAATGAATAAAACCCCAAAGATGGCCTTTTAAAAAAGATTAATAGAGAACTCTTTAGCAAGTTTGATTTAGATAAAAGGCATGGAATTACTAAAATGGCCCAAGAAATACAAACCCTAAGTAGACAAATGACCATGGACGAAATTACAAAGATATATACAAAACTATCTTCCACAGTGAGTAACTAAATTTCTGTTTAGACAGAGGTTACCTCCCCTAAACTATGTTTAAGAAAACTTGCTGGGTCAAAGATTTGGAGATTACCCTCCTCACTCACCCCTTCGATGAGCTGTAGACACTCAGTCAGAGTGCTGTTAATTTTATTGGACAGTTCAAGTTGTGCTTTCCTTTCTTCCTCTTCTTTTTCCATGCTTTTCCAGAATGAAATATTCATTTCCTCTATTATTTTACTTTTTGTTTTAAGTTCCATCGGAGGTCGTTTATACATTTTCCCCTTAGATTTCTGCCATTCTTCCAGCTGTTTTCTGTTATGGAGTTAAAGGGGAGGAATGGTTTTAGGTTTTTGGGTACATGGTCAAGCTTCAAAGTATATGATACGCATAGATTGAGTACCACCTCTGAACACCTCCAACTACAGACAAAGTCAGGGGACTGGAATGAAAACAATTTACAAACGGTCTGTAAAGGCGGTAGCGGTCGCCCCCTCTTCAGGGGGCAGAGGCATCACTAGGGTCAGAGGTGGCAGCATCTCAGTCTTCACATCCCTTGACTTCAAGATTATTCTTTCTCTTTCTCTGAAAGCTTTCATTTCAGCTGTACGCTAGGTCTGAGATCCCTAACTCAGCACTCGACTTCTCTTACCACAGCTTTGTATTGGCCACTGACCAGACCCACCCAACTTGCACTTTGCCCTCCATAGGGTGTGGGCCGCTTAGAGTAAGGCGCTTTACCCCAGTTCCTTAGTCTGCTCAGAACCACACAGGACCACATTTACTCTAAACAAGACCAATAATTTCTTTTTTAAAGATGCTGACAAGTCCTAATCCTGCTCCCTGCTCCACCTCGCCCCAACCCCTGCCCCCACCCCTTACCCTACTGCTACTGTACAGTCTCCACTCCTGCTTCTCAGCAGCCGACAGACTGCTTGCTGCTGGGGAGGCACCAAGACCTGCAGACCTGAGTGTGGATGTAAACTCCCTAGCTTCTTTAAAGCACAACTAGTTGACCCACAAATACACATTTCAGCCCAGACGTCCCCGGCAGCCCCAAACTTTGTAAAACCCACAGCCTGGCTGGTATCTTTTATTTGATGTCTGGTAGGCATTTCAAATTTAATATTGTCCAAAACAATGCTCTTGATTTCCATCTCTAGGTCTGCCCTGATCAGTAATAGTGTCTCCGTCCACCCAGTTGCAAGGGCCTAACACTAGGAGTTGTCTTTGAGCAGTGCTTTCTTCCCCTGCATCCCGCACACCGCCGTGTGGACAGCACCGCTCCCATCTCCACCGGCACCATCCTAGTCCATAGCTCTGCCACTTTCTGCCTGAAATGCCACAGCTGCAAATTCAGCCTGTGTACAAGTATTAGAATGATTCTTACGATGCAAGCCAGGCTTAGTCACTGCCGGGAATGAAATTGAAAATGCTTTCCAAGGTGAACAGCAGTGTAACTTGAGTTCTGCCCGCCTCTCCAAGATGATGCCCCACCACTCCCTCTCACCACTACCCTCCGGCAGCTCGGGTGTCCTTTCAGGCTCCGGGCCCCAGACCATCCCTGCCCCAGGGTCTGGCGTTATCAGCCTTAGTCCCTCCTGACTAGGAAATTGTCTGTCATTATCCTGTCTTACTTAACCAATGTGTTCATTTCCTGTCTTCTCCACTAGAATGCAAGCTCTAGGAAGGCAAAAACTGTGGCTGTCCTAGCACATTACCTAAAACATACAAGAATTCAATAACGTGCAGTAAAATTCACCTTTTTTAGAGTGCAGTTCTATGCTCTGACAAATGCATGAAGTCATGCAACCATTAACTATGACTGCTCCTGTCTGCCTCACTGACTCACCACAACTTTGCCTGCTCAGACTCATGAAAGTTTCCCATTCCTTGTCCCTCCATAACTTTTCTGGATTTAAGCCCTGGTTGGCTTGACAAGGGACTAGCATGTCCCCTCCTCCTCCTGGCCCTCCTCCTTCGCTGCTCAGTCTGCAGGGGCTTCTTGAGTCAGTCATCTACACCTGCAACCCCGACTCCTTTATTCAGTCATTCTGCTGCAAGTGCACAGAAAGTTACAGAGAATCATTTATAACACACATATGTACCACTTAGCCCTGTCAAGCCTCCATATCTGATATATTTGCTTCAAGTCTTTTTTCAGGGCTGAAGCTAAAAATGGCCCAGAAGCCATTATTTATGGCCTACTTTCTGACCAAGTACTCCTGATGTCAATTTGGCCAATCATCTTAAATTGCAATTTTGGAATTAAAGCACTGTACCTTCGATCCTCTGCTGTGATCTTCTTCTTAACATCTGGGTTAGTCTGGGTTCTATTTAGGGCTCCTCTTCCATTTATGGCTGTGCCACCAGCTTGAGTTTTGGGAGCTGTCTTGTTTAGAAAATGATTCTGGGGAAGAGTTCCTTTCAGCTTGGAGTCTAGAGTCTGTGCTTTCTGTTGACAGCTGCTGCTGTGTTTATTCCCCTTGGCTCTACTTGCTCTTATGCTTGGGGTGCTGGGAATGACTGAAGTAAAGCTGCCAACTGCCACGTTAGGCCTTTGGCTCACAGTTTTGGATTTCTGCTGCATACATGACATCTGGGGTCTAGAACAAGGTTGAGTGGATTTCTGGTCTTGCTTAACGTTGGGACGTCTGTGGTTAAGTCCTCCCTGAAGTAGACTGGGGCATGTCCTGGGTCTGGTATATTCTACTTTTTGTTTAGTAACAGCATGTGACTGTAACTTAGCTCCATGTGGCCTTTCATATTTACCATTATTAACCTTTATATCCTTCATGTCTTTGACCCCTGGTTTCTCTGATGCTTGATTTCTATTAAGGGTCTGAACAAAGTGAGAGTGAACTGTCTTTGGGCGCTTTTCTCCTGGTTTTGCGAGAGCTGTTCCTTTAGGGAGCTGCTGTGACTTTACTGGTAGAATCCTGGTTTGTGTTCCCCCAACAAACCGTTTATTAGTTCTGTCTTTTAGAACAGCATGATTCAATGAACTTTTACCCAAAGCTTGCTTAGGGGCCAAACTGCTTTTGGTTTGATTAAAACGGCTAGTTTTTGTTTTACTTTTGGCCCATAACTGAGGATGTGGCATCCTCTCAGAGTCCAGTAAGGTTTGGGGCAAGTTCTCTTTGTTTACCTGTTTTAGAAAGTTGTGTAAGGGCTCACCCTCACCACAGACATTGTCCACAGAGTCTGTATGTACATCATTTCTTCGATCCGTCACCTGCTGCCTTGCAGCTTTCAGTTCCTGTATACTAAGTGACCCCACAGTCTTCCTTGACAGCTCTCCAGGGGATGATCCAGCTTTGTGCTGTTGCTGATTGCTGGAAGGCTTACAGTTTGGGTTAGAAGAAACATATACTGAAGTCGGCCTTTTGTCCAGAAGTTTTGGTGGCTCCAACTTTGGCTTCTGGGACCCTGGGATATTGGCAGGTCTGGGCTGAAGTTTAATGCTGATGGGTCTTGTAGCTTTGACAGGCAAAGCGACATCTTTTTTGGGTCCAATAATCTAAAAAGACAAAGAAAAATATCAAAAAAGTAAATTCATGAGAATAGCTCAGTTTTTTAAATAAAAAAATAGTTACTTAGAATTTCACTTAAGGAAGTTGAAATCTGAGAAAATAAAGGCTCATTATTAGAGGATTAAAAAAAAAATCCTTACTCAAGGATATGTACATTGATTTTAGAGAGAGAGAAAGGGGGTGGGGGGGGCGGAGGGAGGAAGTGGGAGGAGGGGAGAGAGAGAGAGAGAGAAAAACGTTGATCGGCTGCCTCCTGCTTGCATCTGAGTGGGGCTTGAACCCGCAACCTAGGTATGTACTCTAACTAGGAATCAAACTGCAACATTTTGCAGTATGAGATGACGTTCTGACCAACTGAGCCACCTGGCCAAGGCTAGAGGATTGTTATAATGAGTTTCTATTAGAAATATCAGAATCTTTTAGCTTGGTAGAATTAAGCAGAGATGCAGTAAACAAACAAAACTTGCTCTTTAAAAAACAAATTTGCCTCAACTGAACAAGTACTTGCAGAATGCCCATTATGTCCCAGTGAAGTGTCCCTTTGTGGGACCCTGGAAAGATATACACGTAGTACACTTATGCTAGGGTACCACCCAAGTTCCTCCTAGTCCTTTGTACTGCTACACTAATTTTTTTAAAGACAACATTGCCTTTGTAAAGGTCACTATGTCACTCAAGAACCTTCGTCTCATCAGTGGCTAGGGCAGGTTGGGAGGCCCGACAGACTTTGGAACAGCTCTCCATGAGCATCGAATGTCACAAGAGTTAGTCATATTTGTAAACTCAGGATGGGTTTTAAGGTTAGACTCTATGTTATTAACAATTAAATGTCATGTAATTTAATTTTGGATAAGAAAGGTAGAACTAGGTTACAGAGAACTTTGAAAAGTAGGGAGGGGAGTTAGAATTGATATGGTAAAGAGCAGGAATATCAATACTGAAGGCAATTACTTGTAAAGGTGAATTTGGCAGAGATTTGTAGAGTGTATGTCTTCAGGGGAAAATAAGAGAGTGCTAGAGCTACCACTCTATGTTTCATTCAATATTTTCATAAGTTGCTATATAAACTTTGTGAGCATGTAAAGGAAGTCTGTTACCAGAGCCACTTGGCATTAAGGGCAAGGTGATGTCCACTCTAGCATTGTAGGGGTATTTGTGGTGTTGCTGGGGTAGGGGCAGAGATAGATGGTGTACCCACATAATATAGCTGGGTTACTCTTTGAGTCCCAACATTCACATCTACCTCTGATCTCTCCATTATCACTTACTGCTGAGGCATGGAGGCTGGTACCAAAGTGTGCTGTTCCTTAGTTGCTCTTTATTATATATTAAAAAGAAACTGAGATATAATTTGCATCCCATAAAAATTTAAAGCATATAATTCAGTGGGTTTTAATATCAAGGTTGTACAACTATCACCACTAATTCCAGAACATTTCATCACCCCAGAAAGAAATCCCACAGTTGTTTTAAGTCACTCCCTATTTCCCTCTCTCCACAGACCCTGACAACCACTTAGCTACTTTGTTTCTATAGAGCTGGCTATTCTTGACATTTCATATAAATGGAATCATAGAGTATGAGGCCTTTTCTGTCTGGCTTCTTTCACTTAGCATTACATTTTCAAGATTCACCCATGTTACAGCATGTATCAGTACTTCATTACTTTATTTTTTATTTAATAAATTTTAATTTTTAGAGAGGTTTTAGGTCTACATCCAAATTGAGTGAAAAAATATAGAGTTCCCATAAATTCATGCCCACACATGCACTTCATTACTTTTTATGGCTGAATAAATATTCCATTAAACCTTAAATATGTTGGGATCTTTTTTGATTCTATCCACAATCTAGCTGAAGGGAACTGATGAGGAAACATGTTCTTGTTAAGCAGCATCCCAAAGTGGTTGAGACTACAGGCTCTCAACTCTGTCATTTAATAGCTATCCTGTGACTCAGTTCCCTCATCTGTAAAATGGGGCTACTAACAGTACCTACCTCATAAGGCTGTAAGAACTCAATGAGTTAATAAAAGTAGGCACATAGTAGGCATTCAATAAATGTTAGCTATAAAGAGACCAAAGTACACTTAAGGATTTTTTATTTTTTTTGGTTATCAAAATTGAACTATAATATGTTATACTTATCAAAAAACAATTCTGTCCTTATAAACTGTTCTTATATTTATGAAAAATATTCGTGCAAAACATTTTCTTTAGGCTGCTAACATCTTTATTATTTTTACAACTAACCATCCAAAATGTCTATTTCTTAAAAGTCTAATTTCTACTTACAGATTTGGAAGGCGGAAGATTTGGGCAATTATTCCTGGCTTTTAGATAAGGCCTATAAAAGACAAAATAAGATTAATTCTTAGTACAGAAGGATCACCAAGACTTGGGAAGTATAGTGATTAAAAATGGAATTTTAAATCATTAAAATTTCTCTATATGGTAAAACAATTTAAAATAATATTCAGTGAAGTCTCCTTATCCTCCCTTCCTTAGTCCCACTATCTTTCTCCTCAGAGACCACAACTGCTCTTACCCACTTATCTGTGATCCCTGCAGAGATGTCCTACATATAAACACAGTATTCTAACAATATGTCTTTTGTTTATATTTGCACAATCTTATTCATTGCAACATCACTCCTGGAACACTGCAATGTGCCAGGCACCAAAGCTACAATGTCAAACAAGTTTAAAAAAACTTGTTTTAAGTATCTTTAAAAAGTGAATTCTTAAGGGAAAAAGTGATATAATTAAAAAAAAAGGCATATATAAAATCTAGCTAGTGAGACAGAAAATGCAAAAAAGGATAGGAAAGTAGAAGAGAATGTGGAAGGATTTAACCTCCATGGATCAAAAGCAATTGACAGGCTAACAGAGACTTCGATCATGAGTTGACGTTTGTTCCTCCCATCTTGAGGGTAAGCTCTGGAAGGGCTGGACTGCTCTTCTTTTTTTGAACCCTCACTTGAAGACATGTTTATTGATTTTAGAGAGAGAGGAAGACAGGGAGAGAGGGAGAGAGGGAGAGAAACACCCATGAGAGAGAGAAACATCGATTGGTTGCCTTCTCATTCACACTCCAACTGGGGACAAATCTGCAAGCTGGGCATGTGCACTGATGGGGAACTGAACCCGTGACCTTTTGGTTTACTGGACAATGCTCCAACCAACTGAGCCATGCCAGCCAGGGCAGGACTGCTCTGTCTTGCTAAGCACCATGTCTTCAGAACTAAGAGTGATATATCACACAGGTATTAAATAATAAATCTGTTGAATAAATGTACTAGGTTTATTTAATCAAGGAAATAGGGTTGAATAAAAATCCAAAATAAAAATAAACTAAAACAAAGGATGAAAGCAAACTTTGTAAAAATTCATTTTGTAAAAAAAAAGTTTAGCAACGCAGGTAGGCAGAAAATTTATCAATGCTCAGAAGAGGGATAAATAACATCACTAAGATGGCAAGATGTTGACAAAAGATAAAAGTGAATCGATCATTTTTCCACCTTAAGAGTAAGTGCTAAGACAGTGATTTTCAATTGATGTACCTCAAGAATTTTTAAAAAGTACAATACCTGACTATTCAGTCAGGGGCACTGACTTTTTTCTCTTAGACTGTCAAATAAAAGAAATGACAATACAACAATGCCATCTGGTGTGAATGAATCAACATTATACCTATCTTTTTTGTTAACTAGGCAAAAACTATACTTTTTGGTGTGCCACAGAGTCTTAGGAATTAGTTTATGTGTGCCACGTGAGGAAAAAGGTTGAAAATCACTGTGCTATGGGAATGACCAAAGAACACCATTAGGTGGAAGGATGTTCATGAGCAGCTATGGAAGACTGAACATTGTTTTCATAATTACTTTCCCAGGAAAAAAAAAGCAGGGACAGGAAAAGCTTCCAGCATGGTAGATAATATTGTAGATTCTCTGCTCCTTCCTTTGGAGACCATCACAATAATACCATTTAAATCTTAGCCAATGTACTAGCTGCTGCCCAGAGGTTTTTTGCCATGCTTGAACTGAAACGCCCTTTAGAAAGGGCTTCAAATTGCTGTTAGCAACCAGGGCAACAAGAATCATGTAACTGTGGGAGACAAACTCACTTGCTGTTTTGGCACTTCAGTTTTCCCTTGGCTGCTAGATACTCCTGGAGCTTTCTCTGCCGCTCTTCTGAAAAATAGGCAAGCAAACAACAGAACTTCAGCTTGGGATTTTAACTAGTTCATTTATACTTTAAAGGATGACACTTTCAGTAAAGATTCTGGCTCCATGTCTCCAAGTTAACATCAACATTAACCACATCCTTTATATGCCAGGTCCTATACTAAGCTCTTCACACTTATATTATTTACTTTAATCTGCACACCAGTCCTATGAGGTATTTTACAGTCTGAAATGTAAAGAGGGTAAATGATATTCCCAAAGTTACCCAGCTAATTTGTGGCAAATCCAGGATCTGAAACCAGGTTTATCCAACCCCAAAGCCCTTGCTCACAGGCACTGTTCTCAGCTACAATATATGCCTCCATGAATCAATTCTGTTACTGGCCCATCTGAACTGGTGAGCCAGGCCTGGTTTTATTATATTTTTTCCAACAGGGATGATAATTTTTGCCTACAATCCCGTACTTGGTTTTCTTTGGGACTAAGAACAAAATAGACCAGGTTAGGGAGTTTATGGCAAACATCTATATGGTAACTTTCTAAGCAAGGAATCTATGAGAGGATGAAAGTATTTCTGTTTTCAAGGTTCCATGTAATAGTGGAGATAAACACAACAATAATTACAAGGCAAAACCTAGGTGCCATAAGAGAGGGTTAAAGAAAGAATTATGGGAGTTCATATGCAGGAACTGAGGGGAGTAGGTGGTTGGAAAAGGCTAAAATTCAATAACGGTTGAATTAAAAAAAAAAAGAAAAAAAGACTACAGGGTGCAAACCTGCTCTCTCAAACCTACTCTCCGCTTCCCCCAACCGGGGCTGCTCCGTGTTCCCATCTGGCTCTGATGCACCCATGAGAGCCAGAGCCGCGCAAAAGCCAGTGGAGAGCAGGGGCTGTGGGGTCTGACAGGCCGGCTCGGACCCCAGTTCTGGGACGTCAAGCACATTAACAAACCGTTGCTGAGTCATGGTTAATGTGCTGGACGGTTTATTAACATGATTTGTCAACATGGGGGCAGAAGTGCCCAACTTTACAGGTCGGGTCGTTAAGGAAGCGCCCAGGTCGCGTCAGGTCAACGGGCGTCATCACCTACACCGTCCGAAAGCCGGCGCACCTGGGAGGTAGGTTTCCGGGACCCATGCCCTCGAGGCAGAGGCCGGATCCGCCCTGTCCGCTGTGCAGGCTCGGGGTCGGCAGGGGCCACTCTGGGTCAGGGGTGGCGCCTGGCTCCTCCTGGACGCGCAACCCTGGCGATCCAAGGAGGGGGCCGTGCCGCCTCTTCAGAGCCGCTGCAGGACCTGCTGGGGAAGTGCCGGCGGGGCCCTGGGACTCCCCGCGCTCGGACGTCTCCTTTGGGGCTCAAAAGCCCGATGGGGGCGCTGAGGCAGGCGAGGCGGCCGGCAGCCTCCGCGGAGACAGCCCGCTGCTCCCCACGGTCCAGAGCACTCACCCGCAGCGGCAGTGAGCGTAGACCGCACCATGATGGCTCCTCCGCAGCAGTTGATCTTCAAAGGCCGCGCCCTGCAGCTGAGGATGCGCTTGGCAACTCTGCTCGCTCGCATTGGTTGCCAGGGATTTGAAACAGCCAATAGGAGACAGGGGAGGGCGGGTCGAAAGAAAATAGTAGCTTTGCGGTTGGCTCTGCTCCGGTCTTGGTGGTGCTAGAGCTTCCGGGAACGGCAGCACTGGGAAACCTCTCTCCTGTCAGACTCCCAAAAGAGTAGGATTAGATCCCAAGTCGATGCAGAAAACGCATGTGACAAAATTCAATACCTATTCCTGATTAAAACTCCCAACAAACTGGGAATAGAAGGAATGACCCTCACCATAATAAAGGCCATAAATGACAAGCCCACAGCTTATATCTACTCAATGGTAAAAAACTAAAAGCTTTTCCGCTAAGATCAGGGACAAGACAAGAATGTCCACTCTCATCGTTTTTATTCAATATAGTACTGAAAGTTCTAGCCGGAGCAATTAGGCATTTGCAGGATAGAGCAATTCTGTAAATTTGCAGGATAGAAAACCAATATACGAAAAATCAGTTGGATTTCTATACACTAACAACAAACTATTAGAGAAATTAAGAAAACAACTCTATTTACAATTGTATCAAAAAAGAATAAAATACTTATGAATGAATTTCACCAAAGAAGTGAAAGATCTGTACAATGAAACTTGTAAATAAATGGAAAGATGATCAGTGATCATAGATTGGAAGAATTAATGTTGTTAAAATGTCTATACTACCCTAAGTGATCCACAGATTCAATGCAACCCCCTTCAAAGTTTCAATGGCATTTTTCACAGTAATAGAGCAAATAATCCTAAAATTTGTGTGCAATCACAGAAGACTCCAAATAGCCAAAGAACTCTTGAAACAGAAGAACAAACCTGGAGTCATCACTCTTTCTGATTCCAGAGTATATTACAAAACTATAGTACTCAAAACACTATGGTATTGGCACAAAAGACACATAAATCAACGCAACAGGATAGAAAATACAACAATAAATCCATGCATATATGGTGAGTTAATTTTTGACACAGGAGTCAAGAATATACATTGTAGAAAGGATAGTCCTTTCAATCAGTGATGTTGGGACTACTGAATACCCACACTCAAAAGAACGAAACTGTACCCCAATATTATACCATACACAAAAATCTACTCAAATGGATTAAAGGTTTAAATTTAAGACCCAAAGCTGTAAAACTCCTTAAAGAAAACGGGAGGTAAGCTCCTTCACATTGGTATTGTCAATGATTTTTTTTTATTTGACATTAAGACAGAGACAACAAGTAAAAATAAATGAGACCACGTCAAATTAAAAAGCTTTTTTCACAGTTAAAGAAGCCATTAACAAAATCAAAAGGCAACAAATGGAATGGGAGAAAATCTTTTCAAACCATCTATCCGATAGAGTTGATATCCAAAATATATAGAGAACTCACTCATTTCAATAACAAAAAATCCAAATAGCCCAATTAAAAAAGGGCTGAGGAACTGAATAGATATTTTTTTAAAAAGGCCATACACATGGCCAACTGATACATGAAAAGATGCTCAACATCACTAATCATCAGGACAATGCAAATCAAAACCACAATGAGATATCACCTCACACATGTTATAATGACTGTCATAAAAAGACAAGGGAAAACAAATGTTGGCGAGGATGTGGAGGAAAGGTAAAACTTGTACACTGTTGGTGGAAATGTAAGTTGGTATAGCCATTATGGAAAACAGTATGGAAATTCTTCAAAAAATTAATAATAGAATTATCATATAATCCAAGATTTAGACTTCTAGGTATATATCGAAAGGAAATGAAAACAGGATATTGAATAGATACATGCATGCTCATGTTTATTGCAGAATTACTTATAATAGTCATGCTATGGAAACAACCTAAGTGTTCATCAGTGGAAGAATGGATAAATAAAAGATTTATTATAAAATATGTATATACAATGGAATATTACTCAGCTATAAGAAAGAAAAATATCCTGATGGTTGTGACAACATGGATGGACCTTGAAGACATTATGCTCAGTGAAATAAGCCAGACAGAGAAGGAATGCTGCATGGTATCACTTAATGTGGAATCTAAATAAAAGTCAAACTTATAAAAAATTTTTGTGTAAATTGGTATTCTGTTGTGCAAGTATACATTTATTTAAAAGTTCAGAAAAAAATACATAACAAAAAACCCTTATAAATCATTCAATTGTTCAGAGGTAAGGATTTTTAACATTTTTATATATATCTATAATCATTTAAATGTAAATTGTAGGCATTCTATTTTATTTATTTTTAAAGATTTTATTTATTTTTAGAGAGGAGATGGGAGGGAAAAAGAGAAGGAGAGAAACATTGACATGAGAGAGGAACATCAATTGGTTGCTTCTCGTAGGCACCCCAATCTGGGACCTACCTCGAAACTAAGGCATGTACCTGGCCTGGGAATTGAACCAGTGACCTCTTCCCTTGCTGGATGATACCTAACCAACTGAGACCCACTGGTCAGGACAATTGTAGGTATTTTAAATAAAAACAATGTCAGGCTGTAAAATGTTTGTAACCTATTCTTTATATCCAACAATATATTGTGAAGAAAATAAAAATATGCTTACCAAATTACAGATACCACAGAGCTGAGAGGAAAAGCCAGTGTATGAAAAAATCAGAATCTGGAACAGTCTAGATCTGAGGCCAAATTAAGAAGATTCATTTTAATAGTGATACATTTAAATCTTGAACTTAGCTTGAGAAATTGCCTAGGTCTTAATTGCTTACAAACACTATATGAATCGACAATGTCAGTTGCTTTCAAAAAGCCAATGTCACTTTCTAACAAAAACATGGTGTCTAAAATAAGAAGAACAAGATCCCCCTCTGGGTTCTGCTGGTCTGATCATGTTTTTAGGACATTACTTAATCCTGGCCAATAAATTTGATGAAAGATATTGACAACATTGGTCAAGACACAAGAGGACAATTTTGACAAAGCTATGTGGTTATAAAACCACCATACAATTAAGGAATAGATATAGATACACAAGCATATTTATACCTACCACAATAATTATTGCTATCTCAAATATTTCTGTCACCCCAAAAGTTTGAGTGTAGGTATTTTTAAGTCAGGGGGATGCCTTAGTGAGAAGAAATCTAGGGAGATGTCCTTTGGCTTTTTGCTTCTGTTATCTTGGACTTAAAAGTGGAGATTTGGCTTTTCTCTTATCATTTTGGAAACTGATGTATAAATATCATAATAAAAGAAATAAACTCCAGCAAGTTCAGTGCCAAGACTGCTGAGCCCCATCATGGTGACCTTCTTACCATTTAGGCAGGGAAGATGACAGTTGCATGGACAAACAACAGTGTTCACCATACACCTCTTTTCTCCTCTTTCTCTGATGTCATTTTTAGGATTTTACTTACTATACACCTGCTGTTTTTCAAATCTATATCTACTTCTAATTTCTCCTGAGTTCCAGATGTTATCATCTGCCCATTATATATGTGTACTTGGGCATCCTGACAGTAACTCAAAATACATGTCTAAAATGGTATTCCTCATACAGCATCCTGGTAGTGGGAAGAACTTTCTGTTTTCTACCAGAAGTACTGATTGACGCAACTGCTCACCCACTCTCCAGTACCAGGAAACTGAGAGTCATCTAGGACTACTCTTTTCCTATTATTTCCTACATCTCATCCAAGTTCCCTTGATTTTAACTTTTTGCAACTCAACATGTCTTATATCCATGCTTTCTAAAAGCATCAATTAGTTATTAATGTGGCTCTGTATGTGTGAGTTTATGTGGATATTACGTGCTTACGCACATATGTTGTAAGTGCATAATGTGAGCTACTGAGGATACTATCATTCTTATTGCCATTTATGCTACTGGATAGCTAATAAAGGGAAGAGAAAAACCATAAAACATTGGTTTGGTTTTGTAAAGTAATACTGTAGTTATTTATGTGAACTTTAATCAATGCTCTTAATTACCATGAATTAAAATAATGATTAAGACAATAAGTAATTATGTGTCAGATTTACTTTTTTGTAATTTTTATTCAATTGTGATTGATAATGTATCAACCTTCATTACTGACAGTAATGTAACACTGGTTTGATCCCAACTTTTAGAACCTAAAAGGAACATTTCTTATGTTCCAGAAAGGAAAGTTTAGATAATGGTTGTCCCGTGGTTGCCAAAGTTAAGTTCATTCCATTTTAGCCAGCAGAACTAGAAAGCCCGTGGAACTGAGTGGCACATGAATGACAAAGCAAGCTTAAAGGAAGAGGAGGGAAAGATTTTTGCCAATTATCAGCTCAAACAAAGTAACTAATAGAAATTTATTATCATAATTTCAGGGATCCCAGACACTAGAATACAGAGCTTCATGGTAATGGAAAAAGCACAACTTGGACCAAAGTGTCTTAATGTAACTGTAGCAAACTCACTCAGCCTGTAAAACACTGTGTGGTGTTGAGCATGCCTGGTCACATGCAAGGATTGCAAAGAATTGCCATAAATACACTAATATGTTAGAATTATCTTAAATTATATTTATAAATATATGTATATATAAATAACTTAAAAATAACATTCCATGCTTTGCCTTATTCTTGAAACTCAGCTTCAAGAAGCATTTTAGTGAAATGATTGTTATAAAATACTGCGGAGGCAGAAAGGACATATGTGTCATTTTCTCCATTTTGAAGATGATCAAGTTGAAGTCCCAGAAACTTACAGTATTTGATTAAGGGTTCACTGGCAACTTAAAAGCGGAAGGCAAAGCAGTCGGAATGAAATCCTGGGTCTATTACTTCTCATTCCAACTGCCACTGTGAGCGTATCTTAGTTTTCTTATGCTGTAGTTAACCTATATGTAATATAGGGTAGAGGTTTTTCTCTTTTCTTTTTTTGATAGTCAGGAGCCCTGGTGCTTCCAAGATTGTTATGAAAAATAATAATTAAAATGATTGGTAGTTTGCATAGTATAGGGTAGGGTGTTCCTTAAATAACAAACAACATTATATTTAGTGTTGGTTTACTAGACCTTACTCCCTCTCTTACAAAGAGAGTAAACATTCATTTAGAATTACAAAGGCTCAGCACATTCTCAATGAGTGACTAAGAGTAAAGTATTTGACTTCTTCATGTACACGGTACATATGGACTGTCAACATTTCCCAAGTAAGTAGACTCCAGAGTCAAGTCTGGTTTTCCAGTATCTGAAAGTCAGTGATAGAGGGTTGCCCACTTGCCATGTGCACCAGGCCATCCTGCTTTGTGGCGATAAAGAAGTTTGGGTAGGCAACCGACTCAAAGTAGTTCTTAGAGCCATGAGTTTCCCAGAAGAAAAGGATGTTGGTCTCATCTTTGATGGTTTTGGGTGTTTCAGGCATCTCCTAGGATAAGGAGAACAGAGATGTTAGAGAATAAGATGCTAGAATAAGAACTGAATTTCAATCCCTTGGCATGTTGCCTTTGTGAGAAATATAGCACTTAAGGATTATGACTCCATAATATGATGTAGGTCCTTCATTCATTTGTTCATTCAGCAAGCATTTATTACATGCCTATTAGATGTTTGGCCCCATTTCATAATAGTTGGTTTCCTTAGTTAACTGGAGAGAAATCCAAATTAGTTATGAAGACTGCCAATGACTCCAGTGTCTCTCTGTATTCTGGCAGGTGGGGTCAAACTTCATTCTTGTCCTGCCTCCAACACAAGCATAGGGTATTTTGTATCAAATGCAAGTACTAATGATTCTAAGATCTCTAAAGATTTTGACCTCTAAGAGTGCAAATCATATCTTTGGGAAAGTAATTTATAATTAGAGATGTTTATGTCCATATTAAGTCAACAAAAAACCCCCAACACACACACACACATGCACACACACACACATGTGCACACACACCACTGCCCAGGTGTATTAGCAGCTGAATCTTTACAATACAGTTGTTAACAATTGTGATCTCTCTCTCTTTTTTTAAAAAGATTTTATTTATTTATTCTTAGAGAGAGGGGAGGGGAGGGAGAAAGAGAGAGAGAGAAACATCAATGTGTAGTTGCCTCTTGAGCACCTCCTACTGGGGACTTGGCCCACAACCCAGGCATGTGCCCTGAGTAGGAACTGAACCAACAAATTTTGGTTTCCAGGCTGGCACTCACTCCACTGAGCCACACCAGTCAGGACAACAGTTCTGATCTCTTTAGACTACTCTTTCTGTGGTTATAAATAGAATCTAACAATTTACTTTTCCTTGGAAAAGAAAAATTCAAATTCCAACCTGAGATGCTTCTTCTCTATTCTTTTTAGTCTAAAGCAACTAAATATCCTTTTGAGATTTCCTTGGGGTTTTCAGCAAGAACAAGGATTTTATTTCCTAAACCTCTTCTTTTAATTTTTCTCATGTCATCTAAGTAAACGGAATTTTTCCTCATGCTTTTTGGTTCTGTCTTCAAAATGTAACGAGATTCTGTCTACTGCTTTCCACCTGTCTCAGCAATTTCCACACCATGACTATTGTTATGACCTCCTATTTGGGCTCTCTGCTTCATGTATTTCCTTCCTCTCGATCTATTCTCCATTTTAGAAAATATAAGTGAACTCCCCTTAATTTTTTTTTATTGTACATCAGATGAAATCCAAATGCAATGCTCTACCAACACTAGTCTCAGCTCATCCTTCCTCTTCTCCATGGTGCCCAGCTTCTAGAGTGTTCTGGTCTTTGAGGCTGGCCTTTAAGCACTTAAAGATCTATGGCCTGGGAGCAGTCAGACCCCTATTTTTAGAATGCTCTACTCCCACCCAGCCGCTTGCATGATGGCAGGCTCCCTCCCTCCCATCAGCAACTCTCATCTCCTCTATCTAAAGAACACTCTTCAACTTCTCTGTTTCTCAGCACCCTGTTCATTTGCTTTACAGCGTCTTGCACATTGGGCTGGTTGTTTGGCTTGTCTATTGTCTGCGTCCCCCAGAAGACTAAGTTCTACAAGGCTAGAAACTTTGGCATACCACTATCTACACTGCTATTGCCACTACACCTGCCAGATAGAAGGCTCTCAGTGGATAACACTTACTGAATGACTTCATGAATGAAGCTACTGCCCTACTCTGCAGACACCACTTTAATCTCACTCGATCCAGGTAGAGAAGCACATGCACTACATAAATCCTAGTGGGGACGGGGGTGGGGTTGGATTATACATTTACTGCATAAGATTCACCTACTTATTCCTGGAGAAAACATTTAAGACAACAGTGGGCATGTGTGTGTGTCTGCATATTTTTGGGGGAAGGTGGTAGTGGAGATGGAGCTGGGATGAGGATAATATTGGCACCAATGAAGAAAGAGAAGCACTAGAGTCAGAAGGCCAGGGTTTGAGTGTTGGCTCCAGCTTTTTGCTTTGTGCCTGCTGGCACATGATTAATTCTCTCTGATCCCAGGTGACTTGTTTGAGTTTCTTAGAGGCAGTTCATTGTCCTAATGCCTACTATCATGTAGGTTAGGTAGTAGATGTCATTAAGGGTCAAAGAGAGATGGAATAAATGGGTGCTCTAGGATGGGAGGTAAACAGTATCAGGCAGGGAAAGGAAAAAGAAGGAATAAGGCAATTTGCCTTTTATACACTCTTGTACCTTCATTTTATACTTTCACAGATCCTGCCTCGAGTTACCTCAGGGGTTGCGGGAGAAGCAGGATGGGGGCAAGTGGGCAGGTGGGGACTGTGGTAGGAAGAGAAGAAGACTGTGCACCCTACTAGGGGTATCTGTCTATTGGGGTCATTGACAATTGTATGGAATGTAATGAAGATAAATTAGAGTCTGAGGACAACTGACCTTTAGCAATACAGGAGCGTTTTCACTTTGTGCACTCAAAAATAGTCGTGTTTCTGAGATCCTTAGGGTCACAGGAAATTTAATATCTTCATTTGATATATAAGCACCCATGTCAAATTTCACTGGTGAAGAGAAAAGCCAAAAGGAAAGTTAATCTGTTGTATTTGCATAAAATTAAGTGTTTATGTAGATACCGTGTGTGTGTGTGTGTGTGTGTGTGTGTGTGTGTGTGTGTGTGTGTGTTAGGTCTCTGACTATGGTGGAAGTACCAGAAATGGAATTTGGCATATCTTTGTGTCTTTCACAATGTCTGACACATTTACTAGGCAGGCAAATACTTGATTAATGTCTTTAGAATTCTCTAAATTGAATGGATTCTTGGGGGTTGAGTGTTAAATATCTTTAAAATTTATTAGTGGGATTAGACCCTGAAATTTATGAGGTCATGAGTTCATAATGACCTAAAATGGAGGGGTTTAGGGAAGCGGACACCCATGTTGGTAGAGATACTGACATGTAGTTTAGTTTTCCTTAGAAGCCAATGCTTAATAAAAGTTATAAAATTATATATGCCTAGAAACCCAGGAGTTTCACTTTTGGGATATGTTCTAAAGAAATAACCTCCTGGGGAAAAAGTACATATATAAAGATATTTGCAACAGAATTACTTAGAGGAAACCTGACTCTCTCTCTCTCTCTCTCTCTCTAATATAAAGTACATATTATACATAGTATGTATTACATATAAAGTACATATTCTATATTATACATTACATATATACATACATATATAATTACATGTATATAATTGTTATATAATTGTGATAATGGTTCTTTCTAGTTTGGTATTATTTGTAAGTTTGGTTGGCAGGTTTTCTTATGAAGCTCCTCATTAATTCTGGGTAAACTGGGGTGAGTCATTCAATATTTTTGTGTTTCAGTTTCCTTGTATTTAAAATAGAGGGATAAGACTGACAGAACCAAAGGAGAAATGACATCAGAAAGCTTCACATTGAACTTAGTCTCTCATTGGTCTCAAGGGACAGGACACTTCTCCTGTGGGGCTCTCAGGTTTAGCTGAGGCTCCTGTCCTTACCTGGGAGTTTTAGCAGGATGATATGCATCCTTCTGATTTAGAAGAATTGTGGAAAGCCAGGAATGTAGAGAGGTGTATTCTTTGAAAGCAAAAACTTGAAAGAAATACAGAAATAAGAGGAAGGGAAGATGACCGAGTTGTCCATTTACCTTCTTGGTCCAGATTATTTAATGCTGTAGCCATGAGGTATTTGCCTGTTGTGTCTAGAGTGATACTTTGATTGAGGGTGTCATTCAGGGTGCAGTGGTGTTTGATGACCCTTCTGAAGTTGTACTTCATTTTGCTCTGGAAGCTGTTAGTTGCTGACTTGGGATGGATGATATCTACAACCAGTAGCACAAGCTGAGGTTAATGTCTTGACACAAACACATGACATGTCTGTTCCAATTCGAACACAGGAAGCAGCAATAGAAGAGATATTAGGAATACTCCAGTTCAGATGAGGAAACAGAGAAGTGGAATCACCCAGCAGTAGTAGAGTGGGCTCTAGGATTATTGTGGTAACTTATTCTTTTTAAACTTTGATGCCTCAGTATTTTTATAGAAAAGAGATGAGTTGTGCAAGTTTCTCATTTTTGGTTGTTTGGAAGTTTCTAAGTAACTGGGAAGATTCCTAGTATTCCCTCCTTATATTTTCAAATGAATGCACTCTGAGAAAAGAAATAAATACATTAAGAATTATGTACATTACCAAGGGAGCAGGTATAAATGTCTGTCATCCCTCTGAACAGTGATGTACATCGGTAGCTTCATGAATCCTCGTGGCTCTGCATAATTTTACTTCTAGGACTCTACTCTAAGGGAGTCAATGGTGATAGAAATGAAGGTTTATGGATACGGATGTTCGTTGTTGCATTATTTATAATGGTGAAAAATCGGCACTCTAAAATGACCTTGATATATTGCCAAATGAAAAAAAAAGCCAGATATAAAATTGTATATAGTAGAATCCTAACATGTTCATATGTGTGTAAGTGCATAGAAACAACTTTAAGGAACATATCATAGTGTGGGCTGTGGAAAACTCTTAGTGGTAGTATGAATATTTTTATTTTCTTTCTTACATTTTCTTGTATCTCTTAATTTTCTTGTATCTCTTAATTTTCTAGGTGAACATGTATTGGTGTTTAGCTGTGACCTTAAAAATACTGGGTTTATGTTTCACACAGAGGGTTGTAGAGTAGAGGCATGGGAGAAGAATCATGATTTTTATAGTCAGAACCAAATTTTGTTTGAGGCTTTCCCATTTCAACACTGTGTGACTTTGAGCAGGTGACTCTCTTACTGAGTTTAGTTCCCTCAAACGTAAAATGGAAATGCAAGGTTGTTGCAAAGTTTACAGATAATACAGCCATTAATAAAGTGGTATTGCTGGTAGCATTAACAAAGGTAGTAGCAGCAGTAATAATAGTAATAATAACAACAACAGCAATAGCTGACATTTACTGGGTATTTACTGCATGCCAGGCATTACTATAGTCCGGAAGCTTGCAAGTATTAACACATTTAATCTTTGCAATGACTAGGGATTCTGATCATCTCCCTTTTATAGTAGAGGAAACTGGAGCACAGAAAGGTTAAATAACTTGGCAAAAGAGGCATAGATAGCATGTGGCAGAACATAGCTTGTAAATTGCTACCCACTATCACTGTATAAATGCTTTCTGCTGAGGGGCTAAAAGTCACATAACCTTCACAATATGGCCAAGCAATGAGCATGTGAGCACGTATTTTAGCTTCAGGCCACTGCTGCTTTCCTTTCTTATGGATACCAGACTAATGTCTGGTTGCCTCCCTTGTTACTCTCAGTCTAGGTTTTATTTGCCCCTATACTTTATTATCCCTATTTGCTTAAAAAAAGAACACAAGGATATTATTGTATATGACCCCCTACCTTCTTCTGGATCATTGACAATAGGTTCCAGGTCATCACTGGTGATGAACTGGTTGAAACTCAGCCGTCTCTTCTTCAGAACCTTCCCATTGGCTAGCACCACCACCACACTCTCCTTGAAGGTAAGCTGGGATGTGTTAGAGGTCTCAGAGGTGCTTAGCGACATGAACTTATCCATGCAGTCCTTGGGAAGTGGATCATAGCTTACATCATAGAAGGATTTCTGTGAGGAAGGGAAGTAGAAATTGAGAAGTTGCCCATGGCCATAGAATGTGAATCCTTTCACTGGGAGTTTTATTCAACAGACTAGTGAGAAGGATCTTCATTATGGTCTTGGCTAATCCATGTTTCATCGGTCTCTCCAACTTTTCCCTCCCTTCCTCTCAAGAGTTCCCTCAAAGCATGTGACCTCTTGGCCAGTCTTTGTCATCTATCGGCCAACTGAAAAATGAGATGGAATGAAACAGGTTTACAAGTGAGACCTTAGTGAGTGGTAGCTTTCTAGTTAGTTCTCCCTTAGGAAGTTAGACTTTTACTGGACGGAGCACCAGTAACTTAGAAATAACCCTCTGGGAACAGCTTTTAGAGCCACTACCAAAGACACACAGGCAGTACTTGCATGGTCTCCTAGCAAATCACACAGCTAGTGAATGGCTTGCTTCCTCCCTGTTAGCTTCATCGGCTGTTACAGCAGAGCTATCTCTAATCTCTGGAGCTGGAGCCAGAGAGGATGACCCCAACATATTTCTTTATGAGAGACTTCTGGTGACGTGGCCCAAAGGGCTGCCTTAGGGTGGCAAAACTAACATTCTGATGGAGCCTGGCCAAGAGACTCCAGTCCCTGGGGTTCATGAAGAAGGCCATCAACTCTTAGTGCAGAGAGCCAGTCTGCCTCCCTTATAATGAAGAAATACATGTCTCTGGACATCTCGTGAGGGTACAACATTGCTGTTATTTCCTAGTGTACATCTCGTGAGGTTACACCAGGAAATAACAGCAATGGCTAGGACTCAAGCCATTGCTGTTATTTCCTGGTGGAGAAAATACTATTGTGTCAGAATAGCAATCCTATAAGAATCAGTCATTTACTTACCTGATTCAGAGAAAGTTGGCCATTTTCAGAACTGTATTCTTCATTTTCACTGTCAGACAAGATGAAAAGAATGTAATCATTTGTTATATCACTAAAGTCACTGACCAACATATTTTAATGGGCACATTAGCTTTGGGTAAAACAAACACATAGCCACTACTATCACCTTAGAAAAGAACTTCTATATTCATTTATATGTGTGTGTGTGTGTGTGTGTGTGTGTGTATAAAAATAAATATATTTTTGTCCCTCGCTAATTTGGAATTAGTAATCATCAGAGGAGTCTTTGAACTTTACCTGTGTTTTATCAACAAAAAACAGGGCTTGGCTAATAATTTGAAGAGTTGTAATTAAATTTCAGAGAAAAATGTTATGCTCCTTGAGAGAAAAGAAGTACTTTTGAAACACCTCATTTTAATTTTAACCAAATAGATTATGTTACACATTACTTTCATGTATTCACTGCAACAGATTTAGTTATTTATACTTGGCAACACATCCAGACAACACTTGGATGGCCTAGTGTGTGTTGGTGCCTGTGAACAGGGGGTGGGAGCACCATGTTTGCTCAAAGGGTTCGATAAGCTTACCTTTTTATTCATTTATGTTTCTCCTATGTCTGGATGAGGTTTGACTGTGAACGAGCACTCATGTGCTCAGAGAGCTGTGAAGTCATTTCCTATTCCAGACTGGGATCAGGAGGTTTTCTGAGAATGGTTCCTTTCTCTGACAGTCCATTAAAACCCGTTGCGGTATCAGAACATGTAACCACAACCGAGGCCATGTCCGAGTAGGTATTGAAATTCACCAGGACTCAGCAGGCCTTAAAATAATTTTTCTGTAACAGCTGTCTCCCTGTTAATGCCATCTCAGTTTAAAACGCTGGATACTTAGTTTCCTTGGGTCTTTGCTGAACCTGCCCTGACTGTGGAGGCAGGACATATCTCTTCAGCCTGTGCCAGTCACATGGGCCCCATGCTTGTCACACTGTGACTCCTAGCTGGATTCTAATGTGCCTTGAACCCCTCATTGAATCACAAGAGAATCTATTTCCTACCTGTAACAGTTTTTTAGGTCTTCAAAGAGGTCAGGGACCTTGGCCATCTTGACTTCTTCAACAGAGAACACCAGGGGTTGTCAGTCCAGCCAGTCTCTGAACCACGTGCCTACAAAGAGAGCCACCTCTGCGTTGTGCTTCTTGAGAAACTTAATGCATGACTTAGCCCACACTCAGCATTTTCCCCACTCTTTTCACTCCCTTGAATTATCTGCAGTGTATCTGTCTCCTCTACTAGATTGTAAACTTCTTTTAGAATCTTATTATCCCTTATGTGTCTAACTCAATGTGCATGCACAGAGTAGGCATTCAGTGAACTTTAGATAAGTTTAAAAAAACCCACAAGAATGAAATATTTGCCTTACATAGATGTAAGAGAGAGACAGAGCTGGAAACTTCCCATTTTCTCCTGGTAGTTTTTGGTAGTAGAATTCCCTCTGAGAGAAGACTTATCTGTACCCTCCTGTGTCCTTGTATGAGACCAGTTTCTCTGCCCCTCAGTTCCCCACCAGGAGAATCATTTTCTGAATTCTGACTGATTCTAACTCACACACCAAACAGGAAAGGACAAGAAAGGAAGGAAAAGGCTTTAGCTTCAGAGAAGGCAGTTTGAGAGATAACAGTGAAGGAAAAAAACAAAAAATATTTTAAAAGCCAAAGATGTGATAAGGACAATACCTTCGTTACTCAGGTGCCAGTGATGTGACTCCCTCTCCGCCAGGAGACTTAATGCAGTCACTTAACACCAGTCAGCCTCCTTTGCCTTTTGTCTCCGGTGGAGTAGGCGTGGCCATGGTTGCGTCAGGGGAAATTTACAAGAAGAAAACTGCTTTGTATATTTTCATGTTCATTCAACCTTATACTCTATTTTCAGAGATTTCGTGGAGTTTTGGACTTGGTTATATATTTATTGCTTTGCTCTCAACAATTATAGACACCTAATCTTAGAAAAAGGGAAGAAAAACAGGACACTTCCTAAGTTTCTAAAAATATATGGTAGAAGTGGAAGGAGAACTACCCAAAGTCAGAATGGTAGGTGGCTAGAGTTGAAGAGGAGCTTTGAAGTTGTAGTTCGTGTTTTGGCTTAATTTATTTATTGTCCCCCATGGCTGAGTATGAACTCATGGGATACATGGCAGCCCCTGGCATCTGAGGGTGGTCTTTGAAGGAAGAAGCCCGCTTTTATCTGAAGAGGGAGGTTTGTTTGAATAGGCATAAATCACTGAGTATGGAGTGACAACCTGCTGGTTAGGGCAGGATAGAGGAGACAAAAGTGACATTTAATTGCAAAAACCTTCATCCTCTTACTCCTCTGAATACCATCAACCCATCTCCTACAGAAGTGACAGAGCTTCAGGAGAGAACTCTCAGCCCTGGCCATGTGATAGCCTCCACCAGAGCCCAAAAAGCTGCCTAGTCTTTTTTCAGGATAAAGCCCAGGGAGGTGTGGGCAATTCCCCGGCCAGAAGCCAGTGGCTACATTCAAGAATAGAGGCTGGGGGAAAGGAAGGGACTCAGGTATGACACTGATCAGACTTTGTCAGTATTCTGAGGCTAGCCCAGCTCAGGTGCTGCAACACAAAGACTCTTGGTAGACAAATGTTTCAGGTTTCCTGTTGGAGTTGAAGCCACATACATTTTAAATAAAGAAAAGAAACAGGAGAAAAGAGAAGAGGAGGAAAAACAAGGTAAAGAGAGAAAGGTGAGGTGTGGCAACATGGTATAAAAAACACAAAGCACAAAACTGGGAGTAAGTGGTTTGTGTGAACTGGGTAAAAGTGTTCTCTCTGGTCCTGTTCAAATGTAAATGATGGAGTTAGTTAAATGATCATTCTGGTCTATCCTAGGTGCAAAATACTTGATTCTGGTTCCATTGCTCAGTTCAGTTCCTTCTGATCATACACCTGGTTTTTCAATAGCCATGAAAAAGAGCTACGGAAATAGCTGGCATCCTGGATGTAGGCAGTGTAAATGTAGGACCAGATTGGGGCAGAGCTTGAGTGTCTCAGCACGATCATGATATAAATGGTAATGGTAACAGTTCTCTATCTCTGTGGTTCCTTTCCAGGCAACACAGAAATGTTAGCCCTGGTCCCCCTTCTGCCTCTTGGAGATCTTGTGAAGGCTATTACTAAGAAGCAGTTGCAGAGCACATTGTGAATGTGGTCTGCTATGGAGATACAAGTAAACAAAAATAATAACAATGCTAATGATGGCTCTGTCATGTGGAACCTGTATAGTCATCATTATAACGCCTTGGTTCACTGAAGGAAAAATAGTTCTTATGAAAATATTGGTTTGAAAACTTCAGTAGGGAAGACATTTTCAGATGAAGACCTCTGTTGAAACAGTGAAGATGTTTAGTTTCTGGGAGGAATATGTAACACCTCTTTGGTAATCCAGGAGAATACCGTTGGTTCCATCATTAGTGGCAACACCCATCCTGGCCAATGACACTCATCTGTTGTAGAGAATTCCCCAATGTGGTTGTTGAACTCTCAAAGAGAGTTTGAGAATTTTTTCTAGACAGGCGACTCAGGTTGGGGTTTCATCGTTTTCTTTCATGTGACCTTCTTGGAAACCAGTTTTTACAGGAAGAACCATGCAGGTGAGGTTCAGAGAATGAGAGGTTCTGCTTGGTTCTGGAGAGCCTACTGTTCTGTGAGTGTGAACAAAGGTTGACTTGTAAGGAAGCCTCAACACCAGGCTATCTTTTCCAGGGAACAGGGAGAGGAACATCCTAACTCGAGCTCCAATGGAGCCACATGGGTGTTTGGGCTGTCTTGTGACAGGGAAATGACAGGGACTTTGGGTGGTTTCATGTATCCACTTCTGGACTCTGAAGAGGCCTTAAAAACTCTCTTTTAGTCATTCCCACTAAATCATTCAGAAAAAAATATTTGCGTACTTATTCTGTGGCAGGGATTTTGTTAGGCATCACTATTTTTTTCTTGACTCACAAAATTAGATACTCAAGATGAGATAATATATTTTGGTGGGTGAGTGGATACGCTTTATAAGCTCAAAGGTTGTGGGCTCAAAGAGTCATGGTGATATTTCTCCATTGAAAACTGATTTACAGTTCACAGAGAGCTCTCATCTGCACTGTCTTGTTGCCTCCTCATTTTACTTATGAGAGGTAGTGATTACTATCCCCTTTCGCAGCTGGGGACCCCTGAAGAAGTTAAGTGACCAATCTATGGTCACAAAATTGGCAGAGCTAGCAATCAAACCCAGGTTTCCTATTCTAAGTCCACTCTTCTCTTTCCACTGAATACAGATGCTCAAGTCTCTTTTCAGCACCAATGCCAAGTGACTGGGCTGAAATAGATCATCCTTAAAGGCATTTCCTGCCTCAAACACTCTTATCATTCAGTGATTCTAAGATTTTTTGCTTAAAAAAAAAAGGAGATAAAAAAGAAATGGTTTGAAATATCTCTCCTCCCTCTGTTCCTCCCTCCAGTGAAATCTCATATTTTTCTGTGACATACAGGAAAGGGGAAGGTGATCAGCATAACTGAGTACATGGTCAGTGGGAGCTGGATGGGGAGTTCAGTCATTCTCTTGCCATTGTATCATGAAGACAGAAAATATTTGTAAACATTTTTGGAAACAACTTTAAAATCTTTGCATGTAGTAGCTGGACCTCACAGGATTGCTCAAACAAAGAGAAAAACAACTCTGTGAATCTTCAGGGGTTGCAATTTTTCCTTTTTAGGTGGTAGAAAGCCTCTTCAGAGGAGTAAAGTGTGCATGAACCAAAATATGCAGAAAAAACAGCCTTTGTCTCAACTCATGCTCTATTTAGTTATAATCCACTTTTAAATTCCATGACAGTTAGTGGGAAGGTGGAAAGGACCCAATGTATACCATAGTCTTCTATGTTCCAGGTAGGTGTTAGAATACATCATCTCATTTAATCCTCTACTCAGACCTGTGAGGGAGGTGTTCCTATCACATTTTACAGAAGAGGAAGTTAAGGCCCAGGGACATTAAGCAATCTGCCTAAGCTTGCAAGGTGACCAAGTGGTTGAAGGTGCAGAGGATTCAGGTGCAGAGCCTAGGCTCAATGAACCATGAAGCCTTCTCCTTTTCTTAGTGTGATATTTTCCTTTCCTTGGCTCTTTTAAATTTTTCTTTCTTTCTTCCTCTCTTCCCCTCCCTCCCTCCCTCCCTCCCTCCCTTCCTCCCTCCCTTCCTTCCTCCCTCCCTTCCTTCCTTCCTTCCTTCCTTCCTTCCTTCCTTCCTTCCTTCCTTCCTTCCTTCCTTCCTTCCTTCCTTCCTTCGTTTTTTGTCTTGTTAGCCTATTAAAAAAACAGGAATGCTATGTTGGTGAAGTAGGCACCTCAGATACTGTCTAGATCAAACTCAATTTATAGAAGAGGAAACAGGCTCAGAGAAGATATTGCCAGGTTTCTAAGGTCACAATGAGAGGTCATGTAAGAGTGAGAGCAAAGATGAAAACTCACTGTTTCTTGATTTCTAGTTCAAGATGTCCCACTACTACCTGTGGCATTGACTCTTCAGTAAAGAGGGGTAAGGTGAAAAAAACAATCTCATCCATAAGTAAAAAAGAGTTAAAGAGAAATAAACCCCATTCAGTGGGCAAAACCAGCCACAGTTCCCACTGTCTTGCAAGGTGACAGTGAAGACGTCTGTGAGCAAGTAGATAAGCACACACTGAGATAAGTATAATGAGGGCGCCTACTGGTGCTCTCCTTAAACTGGCAGGTCCCTGGGGAGTGAAGAGGGAACATTCCAGGCTGAGCAAAGGCCGTGGGGGTCAAGTGAATGAACGTTGGGTATTAGGCTGTAGCCCAGAGAGGTTGGGGGCTGAAGGGGTGATGAGATGGGGCTGGAGAGGAAGGCGAGAGTCAGATGGGCAGGACCTGGTGTGAACCCACTAGGTCTTTATCAATTTACATTGGGTGAACTTTGGGTAAGGGCTTGGAAACTCAGCAAGCAGAGGCATGATGTCACTTGGAGTAGATGGGGAATTCAAGTTGGCAGAAGGGGAAGCTTTATGTTGAGCCAGCAAATCTCTGTT